CAACTTTCGAGTTGACTTTTCGAGGTGACATTTTGAGTTGACTTTTTGAGTTTCGGGTTGACTTTTTGAGTTTTGAGTTTTGAAAAGTCAACTCGAACCTTAAAGAAAAAACCCTCTAAAGATTGTGTAAGTCAGCCAGTTTGAGAGCCTGCTACATGTATACATGTATGCTGGAACTATAGGTTTTTTTTACTACCAACATTTGATCATCATTTCATTTGAAGGCATAACTTAGCCATTAGTCACAGTTGTAACAACACATGTGTGGTAGATTTTGCTGTCATGTTTGTACATGTAAGTTAACCTCAGATGAATCACAGTATCTTGTAAATTGTTCAATTGTATTTTGGCCGTGTTGTAATGTACAGTGATGAGTTGCATTGTAATGGAGTTATGAAACGATGTGGTTTCTCACCTTGTCATTTACATGATATGAGGTCATGTTGGATCAAGCAACAATAACTCACCAGTTACTCTCTTTGGTAATTTCCTATTTCTCCACAGTGAGTAACTACCTTGCTATGGTGAGTTAAAATAAGATCCTTAACCATGGTTACTCACTGATTACTCGCTGCTTCACATAGGCAGCTTCCAACACTTTACAAAAAAATGTGTAGGTATAGATGATGCATGTAATAATTTACAAATATATTGTTGAAAACAAATTACTGTCGCATGATGTTTTTTTGTTTTTTCAGTTACTCCCCCATCTCTCCCCCCCCCCCCCCCCCCATTTAACCATATAGTCACTGTAGCCTCTGAAACCGGACTACATGTAACTATTACTCACTGTACCGCCCAAAACCGCCCAAAACTGCCTGAGCACTTTATGGTTCTATTGATTCTTCAGCAAATAAAAGCAAATATAGTACAATGTACTACAGATGCTAATGGGTAATATCCTTCGTATCACCTCAACAGTTGCTTCGAAGGACATTTTTAAAGATAGTAAAACAAAGTGCGATATCAAAACAATATGCCAGAGTTGATCTTTTAAAACGCATGACTTTAGAAGTAACCTCTTTCAGAAATTGACAGCTCAGTTCCGCTACAACAATTGAAGTTTTAAAATCGTACCCCTCCGATGCATTGCCAGAAAAAAACCGTTACAATTTGCACAGGAGGAGTTTGTTGGTTTATCTCTTACAACTGGAGTACTTGTCTGTTTGTCTTGCCATCGTGATCATGTTTGCTGCCCCATTATGGGATGGATTGCAGAGTGGGGATTTTTTATTTTAGTCTCTTGTTTTATTTGAACGGTTGTCTGTGCAGCTGGCTACGTTTGTTTGCACTGATGGGCTGTATAATGCTCTAATTACTTCATTCCTCCAGGCTTAGTTTGAATGGAGTAGTTCAAGAGTAAATGTTGCTTAGGCTTACTTACTTTTTTTTTAACTTGCCGATAAAAAGTGATGGCTTGTTAGCTTTCGATCATAATTGTGTATTTTTAAACCGCAAAATAAAAATGTGAAGACTTCTGACTACTTTACAATGTACCTGCAGGATTTTATTTTTTTAGGATTTTTTTCAACTTATTAGTTTCCCGATTTTTTTTTTGTTAGAAATATCAACAATTTAAATCAGCTTTATGCTGCGTTGTACGTGGCCCCCTATCCACCACCTTCCTCACATGTCCTACGCTTTGTGCGACCATGAAAATGTGGACAAAAATGTGGACAGCCCCTTACCAAATGATGTGCTTAGCCAGGAAGAAATTAGCTAAGAATCTGCAAACAGCTGGTGGTACCTTGTTCAGCTGAACCATAAAAAAGGAACAGATACTGTGCTTCATATTGGTAAATGTAGAACCTTACTTGTAGGATCTTGTGTTCCTCCATCGTAGGATGCTGGCTATGTTGGCAGTGTCCAAAAAAATTATGAAATTGTCAGAACTACAAGCATCACAAGCTCACATGTGGGGACAACAGGACCTTTCATTTGATTGATGTGGCAATAGATACGTAGATGGAATAATTATGGTCACGTGTATTTTTGGGGGGCTAAAATTATGGAATTTTATGTACACGTAGTCATTGTGCCACCTTGTTTTTACATGCAAAATGCAAGTGTTGTTATTAATTTTTTTAAGACAGAGACAATTATAGGTTCATATTTTATGCCATTCGGTTTTTTTAGGGGGGGGGGTGATAAAAATATAAGTTTCTTGTGAAGTGGTTCTGCTTTAAAACTTGTTTTGAGCGGTGACCTAGTTATCTAACAATGTTTTCTTGTAAAGAGCTAGTTTCGATTAGGTCTACTTTTAGAAGTTGGAAAGTACCCTGTACTACTTCTAGACCAGTTTTACACAGGTGATGTCACTTCTGCAGTTTGTATGCACTTAGTACCAGACCATTATGGTGGGATTGACCTGTGAAACTGCACAGGCCAGGGTAGCTCATAAATCATGATGGCAGTATGTGAACACTATGAGTCATTTCTTGTGTCATTCATGTATTGGTATCCCCAAATGTTGAGGGAGTGGGGAATGCATTACACATTAGGATATTCAGTGATACCCTGGGGAAAACCTAGACTAATGTTTGTCAGAGCATAGAGCTAGTCCTAGCTCTATAGTCAGAGCATGGTCTGCGGTTGGGTGTTAAAGGGAATGTACAACATTTGCTTTTGCTGCAATTTTCAGAAATAAATGGATTTTGAGGATGGCAAATATTAAACTGACTTGCTTCATGTTTTGGGTTCGGAGATGCTGGAAAATGCAAGAAAACCAACCATGTTCTTGTAGTCTGGTTCCCTGACCCCACTTGAGATTAAAGAGAGCAATTTATACTTAAAGAATTTATTGTATTGTAAGGTCAGAAAATCAGTCCAGCAGGCTTGTACACCGTCACTGGTGTGTAAACAATTGCAAAGAAAATGCCGAATAACTAAATATGAAAAATTAGGAGCAGTTGTTGAAAAAAAGCCAGTTTTCTCCAACGCTGGTCGGCCGACCAGCGTTGGAAAATACACGTTTTTTTGAAAATGTCAGCACAACAGGAACCACAATTTTACAGGATGCTTTGGACTGTCATTCCGTAACAATGCAGTAGGATATTCTGTGATAATTTGATCATTTAGTTTTTTTATGTTTGCAAATGATGTATCTTCCCTTTAAATAGTGTTCCCATTCAGCAAGGGTTTTGTGAATTTTGCCCAACCCAACAAAATGAGTTTGAAGTTGCCCAGAGGCACTTTTGGGTTGCAGGCATGCCTTTCAGATTGTGCACAAAGGAAATCAATAGAAATAGTCAACATTTTCACCCCTTGAAAAATATCAAACTCTCAAAGAAGTGAATGGAATATTGGAGTGAAGAATAGAGTTTACTCTTTTTACTGCATATGAAAAGGTACACAGTCACATTTCAAATGTCCTCACGATTCATTTTGTGGGATCTGCTCTTAAAATTCAGAATGGCTGTGATACAAATCCAGTATTTTGTTTCTGTCATTTTGTTGGAATTAACAATTGTAATATTTTGTTCCACCAAGTATGGCTGTACCTTGTGTTAAATGCCACTTAAAATCACAGGCTGCAGGTCATTTTGTTGTGGGTCCCTATTAGGTGAAGTATTTTAAAATGTGGTGTGTCAAGAGCATTTATCAGTTGGTTGAAGACAAAATCCTGGTGTTGGTTTTTCAAAATAAGTAAAAATTGTTTGATAAATTCTTTTACTGATGTTCAAGTAAAGGTGAAATTGAATCAGTGAAAAACTTGACATGCATTATGTGGAATAGATCACTGGCTTGCTACAATTGGGATAACTTTTTTTCAGTGGATGCTATGTGCCTAAGGCCCAATACCCTGGGAAAAGAAGCCGTCTTTAGCTGTGTTCTATCTTTGTAGCCATTTCCTATTCTCATTCCCCCAGCGCTTCAGTCAGTAATATTCAAATGAATGCATGTATTCCTGTAACGGAGGAAGCCTTTTCTATCCTAGTGCAATTTGAGAAGATAAGTGCCTGCTAATGTATTTCTTGTTGTGGAAACTTCCTCCAGTTGCTCAGGAATAAATCAATAAATGGAGATGACACTGATTCAAAAGGGAAAAAAAAAAAAAAAAAGCCAAAAGCATAAAGTGTTGCACTCTTTTATGTGCATTAAACTTTGACCTGATGTCTTATTAAATTTTTGCTTTTAAAATGCAAAAGTCACAATGAAACTTCATTTGTTGATGTCATGAAATTTGCTACGCTTTTGCTTTCACATGAATTATATGAACCAGCTTTTATTCAGATGACAGTTACTCCACACAGTTTTTAGTGCAATTAGTCAAAATTCTTGAGAGAACCACCGTTCTTTAGGATAAAATAGTCCCCTCACATGGAGTAATCTCCAGACTCTTGTCAAGTTGTACAGTACTGTCCACTCTGCAGTACCGCAAATCGGTGCTACAAATTTATTTTGTTTGGTTAGTTAAACTGCATCCCAACACTTGCTTTCAATCAGTTTCGAATAGTTTTCAAATTACTTTTGCTTGTTTTTCATTGCTTACGTGGTTCTGCCCCTGGATATAATTCTGATTTGCTCATTTCTTACAACCCTGCTAGGTACCTCAGGTCTGCAAATTCGTCCCTGCTTGTTGTGCCTAAAACTATTAAATCTTGGGGGGACCGTTCATTTTCTCATGCTGGACCTATGTTATGGAACAAACTTCCTCAAAATATTCGTGATAGTGCTACTTCCCATGAGTTTAAATGTGCTCTGAAGACCCACCTATTCCAAGCAGCATTTCATTAATCATCCAGTTTGATTTCACTCTCATGTGTACTGTTTCATATTCATGTATTTTCATTTGTGCGTACTTTTGTTCCCTGCTGTTTTTGCTGTTCATGTTTATTTGTTTGTTTCTCTGCGCCTTGAGCATCTAATCAAGATGGATTTGGCGCATTATAAATGCTCTTTATTGTTATTATTATTATTATTCAATCTGAACAGAACTACATGTACATGAGAGTGAGATTTGTAAAGTTGATCCTTGTACTTGGAGCTATAAAATAGCTCCATGGTCTACCCTGGGGTTTTGCTTGTACCGATATGAAAGCAATTAATGACAGTGCTGTTAGCGTTCACATCCAATTTTGTTCAATATTGGGGTTTGCTCTTCAAAGCCCAATATTGGTGTCTGATGCTATTGTGACTGCTTAGTCTGTATTTCTTCAATTAAAAACTAAGCTTGCAATAAGGCACATTTTCAAACACTCCTGTTGCAGAGAAAATCATCAACTTGTCATCGTGTCATTAGTCCTGTGTCAATAGTTTTAGTATTGCTGCCAGACAGAGATAATATGGCATGCTTGTGTCATATTTGTAAAGTAGAAATTTTGCTGTTCCAATATTGGCACACTTCAGTTTGAGATGGCAGCAAACACATGAACGACAGGAGGATTTTAGCATTTTTGTTTTTAATGTGGACAATTGACTCTACAAATTTGACTGAATATTGAGACCAGTTCATCAGTGTTTTTCGGCTTTTTCCTCACAAAGCCAAGGATTAGTAAAATTGACTGTCTTCATCGCTCATGCAAAAGATCCTTGCTGGAGACCGTTTTATGTTAATTGCATCAACGAGGAACTTTTGGCACTGCATAAATTTGTCTGATAACCTTTGCTCACCGGAATTCCGTGCTGCACATGATACAATGAAGTGCATTATGTGGGACATAAGAACACAATTGACACAAGCATACACTGTGCATGTGTGGGCCCATGCCCTTTGCAGGCACATACTCCACAGTGTGCCTTTACTTGGCTCAGCAAATCTTGTTTATTAGTGTTATGCATGTGTGCTGGACCACTTATGATTAACCATTGGTTGGAGGCTGTGATCATGCCATTGAAGCTGGGCCCTGATTGGCTGGTTGGCTGTGTGACATGCACTGGATGCATGCACACTGAGGTGAATGGGACTGCTTGGCATTGCATTGCTAATACACATGATTAGATAGCTTTGGGAGATTAATCACAATGCATGTATTGGATACTCTAGATTGAGACTGCGCACAGATGTTTAGCTAAGTGATGTGATTTCCATCAAACATCCTTCAAACTGAACCAACATACTGAAATCCATTCGCTGGTTTTTCTTGTACATTTTTGTTTGGTCATGGAGGCCAGGGCCGCAAAGCGCAAACCAAACTGGACGGACACTGAGCAGATCATCATGCTGGATGCCTACGCCAAGTACAAGGAAGTCCTTGCTTGCCATGTCATTTCTTGCCATGAGAAGAACAAATGCTGGTTTGAGATTACCAAGCAGCTGAACCTGCGCAACTCATCTGTGCAACGATCCATAGAGGAGGTCAAGCGCAAATGGCACAACCTCCTAGGCCAAGGCAGACGGGACTTCTATGACTGGAAGCAAGCCTGTCAGAACCCCAACATGGTCCCCGGCCCCTCGCCCATGCCGGCTATCAGCCGCAGGGTCCTGGAGTTACACGGAGGCTTCATATTGGAAGAATGGAAGGAGAGGCTGGAACCGGGATCCGCCCAGACAGCATCACATCAGGATGAAGAGGAGTTCATCTACGTTGAGGCCAGCAGTCCCGATATGTCAGAGGATCAAGGGACATATGAGTGCCTGGACTCACCTGACATTGCCGAACCTGAGATCAAAGCCCTGGCATCAGACCCTGTGAAACGAGAGTGCCCAAGCCCCCAAGTACTTGTAATGAGCGATTCAAGTGAAGCATCTGCTCACCAGACATCAGCAGCTCTGAGTGCCACATCCCCAATCTCCACAGCTTTCCATACCAGCACAACAAGCAACCTCCACATCAGTACCCCTCCTTACCCAACCCAACCGCCTAATCCTGCATCTCTCACATTCAACACAGTGCAGTCCACCCAGATAACCGATGCGCAGACAAACGGCAGCAGAAACCAAGCTAATAGTGTTTCCCCTCTTCTAAATCAAACTCCACAAAATCCAAGCCCTCGCCACATCACCCCTCCTACACTTGTTTCAATGGCAACCATCAGTAACATCTCTTCCTCTGTCGGCCCCACCAGGCAACCGCCATCTTTGTTTGGTCCAACAACCAATCCTCAATCCTCATACCTGTCATCTTTGTTCAGTCCAACAACCAATCCTCAATCCTCATACCCGTCATCTTTGTTCAGTCCAACAACCAATCCTCAACCCTCAGAACCTCCGAGAAAGAAAGTACGAGTGTCTGAGTCTGGAGTGTCTGAGAGGGGGGCAGGACTTCACGTCGAGAGGGAGGCAGAGCTGCGTCTTGATATCCTTCAGCTGGAGAAAGACAAACTGTGGCTGGAAACGGAGAAACTGAGACTAGAAATTGACATTCTCCGAAAAAAGAAGCAGCAGATGAATAGCAATTATTAAACTTTACCTTTCTTTCTGTAGATTTGGTGAAGGTCAGTTGAACATTTGCAGAAACATCGATCTGGCTGACTCGTAGAAAAACATTCAAAAGATAACTCATTAAAGATTTAATAATAAATTCACAACCCAATATGAGGAGATCACTTTTCATACTGTAAAGCAGTGAAGTGAGCCCTCTGTTGTCCAAACAAGATCTGATTTCCTGACCCTTCTTAATAATTAAATGATTTACTCAACGAATCATAATCAATACCTAGTCCTACAGCAGAAAACACGTTTTCAAAAGGTACTGGCCTTGTCAGTTTCTCATAGTGGTTTATCAAGTGAATGAACAAAGATATCATCAGATTACATTCAATGCTCTGGGGGAATAAAATGTACCCTATGTATCCCTGGAACAAATAAAAACCCTTGATCTGTGGGAGGAGACAAAGAACACAACACTCGTGTAAAAATTCATGTGGTTGATGTACAATGTACATTGTATATGCGTAGTTTACAATAATTGTGTAAGTTGTCTCTGTGTAAGCCCAAAAAAATCTTAACCCTATTACTGCACCTAAAGTTTTGTAGTAACCTGTAGTATGCATTTCTTTCCATACAAGTGGCACAACACATGTAGTATTCTCTAGTGTTTGGTCCTTGACCCCCAAAGAGCCCTTAGGGTGTTAGGGTTAATTTTTGTTTTGTATTTTCAGTTGCATGAATTATATATTTTCGATAAAGTAATTAACTGTACATGTATTTAACCATCAGCTGGACCATACATGTGTACAGTATTATATAACATCAATTATTACTGAACAATTTAACATTTTTTATCTTATATATGACACTATTCCAATGCATTGAAGTCCCAGTGGAGACTTATGTCTGATACATGAATATTAAAACGAGGTATTCATTAGAAATATATTGAATGCTTGCTTTAAGTGCCACTGGCTCTTATTAATAGTGATTGGATTTGAAAAAAGAAAAACATGCAGTACTGATTAATAACAGTATCTGATTGCCTGTAACCGGACCCCCTGTCTCAAGAAATTATTCCTGACTGTTTTCCCTTCGGCCTTAATTGGATTTATGCAAGTCTTATTATAGGCTGTGCTGTAATCATGATACTGAACTGTATTGGAAAAGAAGCATGTACAAGTGCACTGTGGATTTTAGTACGCTGTGCGGTGTACACGAGATGACCCATGTGCAGAAGTGTGCATGCTTTTAAAGGTGACCGTCAATTGGGTGTTGTGGGATTGGGTTAATAATTAGAACGGAATATTGTCTGACAGTCAATATTTGGAAATTGCTAAGCAATACATGTAATTCAATAACTAAACATGGGCCGATTGTTTTCGGTTGATGTCTCATTCAGTACTGACAGATTAGATTTGTACAAGTCTGTTGTGCATTGCACTTGAAGGGTCTAGCTGCCAGCCATCAGGGCCTGGGGCCCACAGTTTACCATGTTATGGTTTGATGGAGATGATACTAGACTGTTGACAAGTCTACAACACTTGACTTAGACAAGTATACATTATGTTGCAATCAACATATTATTGCATTCCATGTCTTAACAGTTCTTCTTGAATGCTGATAGGACCAGGGCAAGTCTAAAGTGTGTTGTCATCAGACTTGGAATCACTTGAGAGCAATTCATTTTCCAATTTCAGGCAGAATATGGATTCAGGGATCTGGGCTTTGCTGTGATTAGACGAGCCATGTAAAATAAATACAGTTCCCGATTATTGGGCACGTGTCTATTTCTTCCTTCATTGGTGTAACATCAGAGAAGTCTAATCCTCGACTGATCCTAACTTAATGGTGAAAGGATTGGGACAAGTCTAGGGAAAGTAGTAATTGTATCAACCACCTCAAGAATTAATCACCCCAGATCTGTGTGATACTGATTAGATTTGCACAAGTCTGAGGACGTCTTATTACATGTTTCAAGGATAAGGCGGTTAAGTTGCATCTATTTGTGAGCCACAATGCCCTTTAATGCAGAATGGACTGGCACAAGTCTAGCGCTCGTAACCGGAGAAGCCCCCATACAGGGATTTGTGATTGCATGAAACATGAGCCAGTGCCAGAAATTATCCAAATATAGGCAGAGCAGGCTGAATGCCCCAGCCCAACAGGCTGGGCAGGGGTCTATTATGAATGCATGAGCGCCTGGTGAATTATACAGGCAAACAGAATGCTTTGTCTGTAGTCTTGCTGTGTACAGCACATGTCTGCATGTGCATTTATAATGGCCCCGCGTGCTGGCTATCACTAGCCAGTATACAAATCTACAGACCTAAATATCTAGTACTGAATGATCTGGGTGCATAATGCTGCAAGGTCTTTGTGTTCAGAGCGGGAAACAAAGCAGTGTATGTTTAAATGCAAGACAATATTGAAAGGCTGCCAAACATTGTGGCTGATTTTTTGCGGGTTGTGCGTTGGTGTTTCAGAGGAGCTGTATCTGTCTGGTTAATCAGAAATGTCCCTGGAAAATGATGTTGGCCTTGTTTGGATTCTAGAACAGGAATTGACTGAGAGGGGAAATAATATGAAAAAAATGATGCGGAAAAGGCAATGACGTCCTGTGCATCACATTCACACTTGTTATTATAATGTGAACGTGTGTGAAGGGGTTTTGTGTACCCATAATTCTGTTTCCTTGGGCGAGCAAATATTGAAATAATAGTATCTTTTTCCAGCAAAGTATGATACTACGAAGGACATGGTTTTCCTGAATAGATTATTTTACCCAGACTCACATTTTTGAAAAATAACTGTTTATGTACAACAGCTGAAAAAACCTACCGTAAACAAATATAATGCTTAAACACAGGACTAAGACCATAACATTACAAAGACCAATACTTTTTTATGGCTTCTGACTAGCGCCCCTTTGAACAAGGACAAGATGGGGAACCGCCAACATAGGGCAGGATAGCTCAGTTGGTAGAGCACCGGAACGGCAATCCGGATGTCGCAGGTTCAAACCCAGCTCTAGTCATTGTCTTTGTTCAACTTTAAAAAAACAAAAAACTATAGCTAATAAAAAAAAAAATAGAATACAAATACTCTAAATGATGCAGGTATACCTTGGGGTTGTGTTTGGGAGACCTGAAGTGTAGTGTGGCAAACAAACTGCTAAATCAAAACTTATCAAAACTAAATCTTATAGCAAACTGCTAAAAGCCAAAGCTGCAGGATGGGAGTTTAAAGGAAATATACATCATTTGCTTTTGCTGTAATTTTCAGAAATGGATGGAATTGGGGGGTTAGAAATATATAGCAAATATAGTTACACTGACTTTTTTGAGGTTTTGGGTTCGAAAATGCTATAAAAACCAAGAAAAACAATCATTTTCCTGTAGTCTGGTTCCCTGACTCCATATAAGAAGAAACAGAGCAGTTTACATACATTGGGGAATTGTAAGGTCAGGGAACCAGTCTAGCTGGCTTGTACCCGTTCATAGGTGTGTAATCGATTGCAAACAAGTGCGATGGTCAATTGGGGCCAGTATTTGAAAAAAAGCAAGTTTTTTCCAACGCTGATCGGCCGATCAGCGTTGGAAATTGATACAAAAATACAACTTTTCTTGAAAATGACAGTATACCAGGTGCCATGATTTTACAGGATGCTTTACACTGTCATTCACTAACAGTCCAGCAAGGTATTTCAAAATGATTTGGTAGTTTTATTTTTTGATGTTTGCAAATGTTGTATTTTCCCTTTAAGATGTGTCTTTGTACACAAATAACAAACAAAAGTAGTAAGACTAACTGATATCAAGTTTTCTTATACATGTAAATGTAAATGCCCATCACAAGGCACAAAGGCCACTCAAGTTTGTATTTTGAACAGCGCCCTCTGTTTCCAGTTGATGTGCTGTTCCCCCCCCCCCCCCCCCCCAGCTATTTGCATGACTGTAATATTTGCAGTGTCTGGTGTACCGCTTCTGTCTTTTCCAGGTCAGTGCACTGGGGAGATGGAGGGATTTAACAGGCGAGTCCGGAACTAGGTCGCTCTGCATCGTTGGTCTTCTCCTTTCCTGTGGGCTTTGCTGTGTCTGATCTACCATGATCACGGAGAGAAAACAAGAAACGATGGAGAAAATATAAATCAAGGTACACATGGGGATGTTGAAGATTTAACAGCACAGAACGGCATTAACGCCCCCACAATACTTCACGTTATAAACGTACAACATTGAAAACATTGATCACTACAATAAGGAAGATGTAAAATGGGACTTCAAATGGGGAACTTGACATTATAAGTGTCATTACTTGGGCTATTTCCTTGCTCTTTAAAAGTGCTTGGGTACAATTTGTAGACAGGATGTTGGAGCCTCATTTACTGAGTGGTCATTCAATGGTTTTGGGCCGTTGTATCAACAGTGCAATGCCCACACAATACAATTAAAAGCTCTTTTTGTGTATGTTGGGGGAGGGGTGGGGAGCCACCAAATTTGATTTGAGTTGATTTTTGTTTTGATTTGATTTACTTCCAATCTGCAGAATTATCTGCAGAACAATTGAAATTAACAGAATATACAAGAAGTTACACTCATTTGCCCCAGACTGTTCTTAACTGACATACATGTAACTTTCAGTGCATTCCTCGCTTTACATTATTTATTTGTTATAACTCAAAATGTTCAGAACGTCTTTTCAAAATATTTATGTAGAAGAGGCAACTATAGAAATGACATTTTATGCTTTGTGACAGAAACCAAGAAATTATCCTGCCCCAAAGGCCAAATGTAGCAAAATATTCATGCGTATCACAAATGAATTGTAACTTAGTTTGAAGTAAGCACGCCCACTTTTGCAAATAAGGACCCACCTATCCTGATGATGAAGAGTTGTGTAAGTGCCACATATGCAGCCAAGTTGAAGACAGAAAAGTTTTGACTTGCAAATGTGGGCCAGTGCCAAGTATAAAACCATCTAAACCAAGAATTCACATAGTAAAAATTCCTGTTGAAAATTGAAGAACTAAATCCTTCCAGTGGTAGGGAGAAATGGATATCTGTCTTATCCTGTAATGCAATGATCTAAGCTTAAAGTCAGTTATTTCTTTAAAAGTGTTTGTTTTCTTTTTTTATTTTTGGGAGATTGCAGCCACATTAATCAGTATGATCAGCTGTGTACCAATTCTCTTAGATGCAATTCCTTGTTTCCACATGGATGCCACATTACCTGCGGGCATGTCCCGGATGCTGCATGCATACTTCATTAGAAACTATTAAGAACTATAAATAGAATCTAGATTGCCATTAAGGCATGAATATTGTAATTGCTAGTTAATGCTTTCCGCAATAAACTATAATATAGTTTGACTAAAATATAGTAAACTGTAATTTATAATCGGGGGCTTAGATTTTGAAGTACAGTCAAGATGACAATAAATCATGCGAAACAAATTCCTCTAATTGTCTTGTGGATTTTCTTAAGTATTTGCGGAGCAGATCATCTTTAGATTTCAAGTTGAGATCAGCGTAGGTGTTATGCCCTGTGGATTGTCATGGTACCTGGCATGCAGTATGCGCGCTGCACTAATGCACATGCAATTCCCCTCAGTGAGTCAGACATCACACAGCAGCATCTTATTGGCTGGCTGGTGAATCATACCTCATTTGCATAATATGACACACGTCAGCCAGCCAGTCAGTCCATTGCCAATTTGCATGCTTGATATCTGTGAATCAGTCAGGCTATTTATAGATGGCCTGGTGCCCTGTAGTATTGTCTTAAAGGGGTAGTGTAAATGTTTCGCTGGACACTGTCTCTAGTAGTTGTCATTATACGTGGAATGAAAATTTAACACAAGCACAGTGATGTTCACACTGTTACATGCTCATTTTATTTTCTGGACGCTGCATGTTTCTCATTTTGATTATGTGTCAATTATAGCCTACCTCTTGAAAAAAAAATTACTCTTCAAATCAGGGTATATCAGCGTACTGCCCCGATCAAGGTAGTAGCTAGATTGGGATATTACTTTGTATATGATTGCATCAGCTTATCTAATCATTCTGAGGAGGATACAATGGAGCAAACGCAATTATTTTGAGGAAAATGCCATGCCGGATAATCAGCTGCAGTTATAGTTATGTATGTCGAACCTCATACATTTGTGGCAAAATGTCACCAGGTTAATTGGACTGCAATTCCATCAACTGAGTGTCCTCCCACAGGTTTGAAATTGGTGGCCAGCCAAATGAAACCCAAGTAATTGAGGTATTAGTCAGTTAAGCATCAATAGCCAAGTCGGGGTATTTGTCCCAATCGAGGCCATAATAATTTAGCATCCTGTTGTTAAAAACCTTTCTCAGTGAAAAGACCATGCTACGATTGAATTTTATGGCTAGCTAGACTCGGATTGACCCTACTGCTACAATAAGTGTTTTGTTCCCTTAGTCCCTGTGTCGATTGTCACTGATAAGCTAAAATACTTCATTGCTCAATCCATTGCTTGTTATGTGGTCAAAATTGAGCATCTAATTTCACATCTCCAAGTTGTGATTTATTAATGTGTGAGGATTGACAAAAAATATCACCAGTATTCAAGCCTGCGTTTCCTTGTGCCACGGTTCTGGATTTGTCGCATTTCATCCAGTACCCAAGCCCTAGGCACGTCTGGATTGTGAAGGAAGGCAGAATGTTCAACCCTGACATTTGAATACGGCAATAATTCATCATTCGGCTGAAGTGTTATTGTGGCATCTCAAGTTGGACTGAAATGGATGGTGGAATTTTAAAGTACAGTTCACGAGAATCATATGGATGTTTTAATTGCATGGAAGGCTCTGATATTTTTCATCTTAGTAAATACATGTAATGTGTATGTAGTAACTGCTTAAAGTTAAATTGGGTTGGTAATTCCACTACCAAGCATCTGAACATAACGTTCAGCAAAACAAAAATGACATGATTCTGTTGCACTTGGACATTTTGATGAGTTTTACATAGTCCTTTGTTTAAAGTAGTAATTTCTTTGATTTAATACTCAGTGATATACTAAGTGCGTTTTTTTATTTCTTAAATGAGAACTTATGCAAGGATGACCTAGTTCTCAAACCACAGTGCACAAATTGGCACAAAAATATTATTTCTTTTGAGCTCATTTCTCCAATTGTATTCTGCAAAATGAGAATCTTCCGAGGTGTTAGCGTCATGTCTTACCGCACAGCATGTTCCATTCTATTCATATCAGGCCAGCCCAGCCCCTTCCCCCTTTTCTTTAATTTTTTCCTGGTCCTAACCGCAGGTTGTTTACTACCTTTTGGTCTAAACTAGAAAACAATAAGTTAATAACCACCCACATAAAAAAAAATACCCGAAAAAGTCTACAAACCGCAGCATTTTGTTGACCTCTTTGTTCAGTCCACCTGTCTTTTGTGCCACTAGTTGCACCTGCATAATCCCTCCACCACCTGGTTTTTGTCTACCACTTTTTTGTCATAGGGCCTACACTTGTTATTGTGATTCCTTTATTGTGGCCAATGAGACATTGAACTGTGTTACTTCAATAGGGGTCACCTATTGTCTGGCTGCGGCCTCCTATGGCGCGCGCACACACACACTACCCTAACACAAACACGAGTTGGGTTCCGTTTGTGTTTAGTTTTTGTATGGCAGCAATTCAAGGTGTGCCAGAAAACAGAGCCAAGTTTGTTTGATGAAAAAAAAATGTTTGATGGATTGTGAAATTGTGTCAAGTGTGTAGGGGGCCTTTATCTCAATGTTTGGTTTCTGTCTGGCTTTCGTGCTTCTTGTTTTTCTGGATATTTTTTTTAAAAACTCACCTTTTGTTATCTTTTTTGATAATAATTTGAATAACTGAATGACCCTGACATACTCAATGTTTTTACTTTGTTGCCTAATTTTAGATTTTCTTCATAAATAACAAACTACAAAGCCAAAAGCTATAATATGTCTATTTCTGGCTGGCTGTGTCGAGCTTCACTCAGTCTTCATGGCAGGACTCCTATGCTTTGTTATACAGAAGTACCGGTAATATTTGCATAAAACCAATGTTTCAATTATTTTAGAGGAAGTAGGGCCTACCAAATTGAATAAAAAAAGCCATTAAAAATTCCCTCTCGTTACTGCTTCCACCCATATCCCATTCCTTCCCATAGTCCCAGTCAGTAGTACACATCTGTCGCTGAGGCGCTCATGAAATATTCCCTTATAGTCGGAGGGACCATTTGGCATATTGATTAGAGAATCCATTCTGAATATGATAAACCAGTGGATGGTCGTGCATGCTTGCTTGCTGTATCCTACATCAGTGTGGCGTTCCCTGCTACATGATGGCCTAATACTACCCCAGGCAGGGCTGTGTGGTTGAGCCAGGCCTGAGATTTTAGTCCCACTGCTCCACTCACAACCACTCACACCAGCACACATAACATGATTGGATTTTGAAAGCCTGCATACACGCAAATGTATAAGGAACAATTTGCATACTTTTTTTGTAGGCTCGACAGATGGCTTAATATTCTGTGACCCAAAAACTACAGCTTCAATATTCAAGGATTTTATTTTTATTCCAGACAAAGTCAATTTTTTTCTAATTGACAAAACCACAGTGTAGTAATTATAAGACCCAATTCATGTGAATAGACCATTTGCATTGCGGCCATCTTCAAGGTGTGTGAGATACACATTGAGATACATATGAGTCGACCTCTTGTGCTTTCATTGTTACTGAACAATATGATTAAGACAAAAACACACAGAGATGACTAGTGTTTGTCAATTGCCTTGACGTGAATTTTTGTGACTGTTGTCAAAATCAAGATTAAGAACAACAATTTTTATAATATATAAATACATACTGCTTAAAGGGAATATACAACATTTGCAAACATCGAAAAATAAAACTACCAAGTTTTTACGAAATACCTTACTTGGATGTTGGTAAATGACAGTCTAAAGCATCCTGTAAAATTATGGCACCTGGTGTGAAGTCATTTTCAAGAAAATTGTATTTTTGTATACATTTCCAACGGTGGTCGGCCGACCACCGTTGGAAAAACCTAACTATTTTTCAACTACTGCTCCAACTTTACACTTTTTTCAGTCCAAATTTTGTTTGCTATTGGTTACATGTTCATGAACGGGTGCAGGCCAGCTAGACTGGTTCCCTTACCTTACAATTTTCCGGCATTTATAAATTGATCCATTTTATCTTTAGTGGAGTCAAGGAACCAGACTACTTGAACATTTTTGTTTTTCTTGGTTTTTCCAGCATTTTCGAACACAAAACTTCAAACATGTCAGTGTAACAATATTTGATCTATTATACTAACCCCTCAAATAGTTCATTTCTGAAAATTACAGCAAAAGCCAATGATGTACATTCCCTTTAATAAGGTTGTGTTCTAAAAAATAACTTGGGATATAATTTGCACAATGTAATTGTACATTGTTGAATCCATCAAAACAACTTTTTTTATGCTTTTTCCTTTAATTAAATGTCAAAGGGCGATCTCTGTCCTACTTTGAAAGCAGAATACACTTGTTCATGTTTAATTGCAGAATAAGCTGTTAACATCATTACACATTGTCAGCCACTGCATCAAACGAAGTTCATTCTGTGCTTGGCTCGACTGGCTTGATACACAAAGGGAATAATTATTTGCTCCACCAATTACACAGTAGAAGGCCATTGCCTGATGTAATCAACTCATTTATCTTTATCTGATGCAAGTGATTTGGTTCACTGTCTCCGGCAATTGATGAATGGATGATTAGCCATGATTGGATGAAATTTACTGTTGATTAAATCGGAATCTTCTCTCCAACACGGTGACGTCACCTGCTTGTTCATTCTGCAGCTAAAATACAGATTTTTTTATTCACTTAATTTTATTTACAGTATACCATTTGTTTTATGTACATAATACATTTTGTTCATTATTTGTGAACAATCATGTGACCAGCCAAACAAAATGAGTCGCAATTGTCCACTGCTCTTTAGTACTAAAATGCATTAACAAAATGATGTACACTAAATATGAGTAGGAGCAGGCTGCATCTTCACCCACGTGAAACAAGATGTCATACTGAGTGATTAAGTTGAAACTGGAGAGCAGATATTCCTCTTTCCACAGCATAAAATGACATATGAAAAACAAGACTTATTTTGTGGTATATAGAGTCAGAAAAGAAGGATCTGATTTATTTTGGATATTTTGCCATCGACTTTTCTTTCAGAATTGAATTTTTGAACGAAAAGTCGACAAATCCCAGAGTGCCTTCAATTAGTGTTCTAAATTCATATTTTAGCAATACCTGTTGGCCACTGCTTCTAATGTGTAGCCTCCCTGAGACCTTGCCACACAGCGCCCTCTGTTGACGGTTCAACAGTGGCAGGCAACATTTTCACAGTCTACCTCAAAACCTTCAAACT